TCTCAGTCAGATCATACCCTATCTTAAATTGCACTATTATAGTACATATATATGCAAAAAAAACTACCTATGAGATTTTTGTGACTATAAAAAAAATATCATAAGAAGTTTAACGATTGAATTGTTTCCTAAAACAAAAAGGTATCATCCAATTGATCATAAAATGGAACAAACCTAGTAATTCAACATATTCATTTTGAATCAACTGACTTTACATATTATGGATTCACTTCTAGCAATTGTGATATTTGATTGAATGCGAAATTTCAGATTATTTTTTTCGAAATTTAGTAATCTAAAACATACCATGAGATTTTAATTTCTGACTATAAAAGTATATCATTAAGAATAAAAATAAGAAATTTTAAATTATTTTTAAATAGATAAACACATCTTTCTTCTTTTTGTGAAAACATACTTACTCATTCCGTCTCAAATTATTTGTCACCATTTACGTACCTTACTAATATCTCCATTAGGTGTTGCGCCAAATTTGGTAACATCAAACACTCCTGCCTGAGCCGCTCCAAGTCGTGCTAAAAATAACATTAATGTAAATACAAATAATGTCTTGATATTTAATTCCATTTTTCTTTTTTTTTTTCTTTTTTTAATTTTTTCTTCTTTATTTTATTTTATTGTGTTTTTTTTTTTTTATTGCTTTTGAAATGATAAAGTGAAGGTTGAAGCCCTTTTATAGTGTCATTAACATGAATTAAGACCATTAAAGTTGTATGAGTATGAATAGGAATTTAGTGGTTCATTTTATGTTTGATATTTTTAGCCTTGTGACTTATTCTTATTGATTATATATTAGGCATAACCAAAAGGGTCGTTTGGTAGGGAGTATTAGAAGAAATAGTCCATGTATTATGTATAATATTATTTAGTACTATGTTTGGTAGGAATTTTGGTCCATGGATTAGTTATACAACATACATGGTATTATATGATGTATTGCTAATACCTTCCATTTGGTGGTATTAGTAATACATAGGTTTTAATACCATTGGATTATCTCTGTAAAGACAAAAAATATCCCTCAAATTCTTTTAATCATTTTATTTATTTTCTTGATTTTATATTTTATATTTATATTAGTAAATTTATTTAAATAATTTAGCTTACAAATTTTATTATTTTAAAAGAGTTGTTTGTTGCTCAAAAGATTACTCAACTTTGAGAATTTATCAAATAAAGTCACATTGAACCTTTTTTGGTGTCGATAAACTCACTCAACTTAGATATTTCTATCAATAAATCACTCAATTAAATTTAACTTCAAATATAGGATAATAAGGCAGACGAAATTATTTTGTATGTAATAAAATTATGGACCCAACAAAGAAATTAATTATTTAGATTAAAAAGGACTCAAATGTTAAAGTGGAATTTCTAACTAATTCGGAATTTCATTTATTCTTTTAAAAAAAAATTATAACTAGGGTTGTAAATAGAATAAGTGAGAAATAAAATAATGAAAGTCTATAACACACTATAACGTGTATCATAAAAGGAACCAAAACAGAAAACATCCTCAGTTTTCCTGATTTTTTTCGAACGGCACTGTAATTATAGCAACACGCCATTTATGAAGAAAAAAAAAAGTAATAACCTTATTTAATTTCAAAGCAATTGAATTTTGATAATTCGAGCTCTTAAATTAGATGGTAAACATGAATTAATTTTTTATGGAGTAGCTTCTCTATTGGGAAGGAGGAAAAGATTAGGATAATTAATATGCAAATACAAATAATTAATTTATTAGGTTGTGTTGAAAATTTTATTTCCTTTTTGCCAAAGATCCAAGTTAGGAAGGGTATCTTTTGCCGTTATAAAATGTAAGCCTAGTCATTAATTGATTGTCATAATTTATCTAGCATTTTGGGACAAGATTTTTTTAAACAAAAATATGGATTTAAGTTTATGTGCCATGTAGTGCAATAGATGGGTTGTCCTTTAATTTGTTATTAGAGGTCTCGGATTCAAGTCTTGGATAGAGAAAATCCTTGGTAGAAAACGCTTCCCTTCGAATGAGGCCCTATACGTCATGAATCATAATTAATTGAGCTTCAATGTGGATATCTGAAACGGTGACACCAAATGAAAAATCAAAAAATATCTCCATTATGCCCTCTTAATTTTAAGTAAATTTTATATACAAATGTTTCAAGTTTACGACAAATTGACCACTAATATAATATGTGACCTTCCATTTTCTAGATTGTACCTTGTTATTAGGGTCATTTTACGAGACAAAGAGGAGATATTTTAAGACTAAAATAAATTATTTAATCAAATAAAGTATATCAAATTTAATTTCAAATATTAGATCATATTTAAGATCCAAATTTCAAAAAAAAAAAATCTTTATTAAATTTGTACAAAGTTAAACAGAAACAAAACGAAATGGCTGAAATATTATTATTTATTTATAATTTTTTCACTTTTATTTTTATTTGCTATACTGATAAGTGAAAACGTGAGTTAAACTAATAAGTTTTGATGGAGAAACATGATCAAGATTCATAATGTCAAACCAATTTTGGTTAGAACTAATACGTAATTATTATTGTTTATCACTTTCTCTGTCCCAATTTATGTGATATAGATTAACTTGACATGAATTTTTTTTTTTAAAAAAACTTTTAAAAGTTGTGATCTAAAATAAATCATAGATATTAGTGCACCTCTAAATCATTTCATTAAGGTAAAATTGACATTTTAAAATTAAATTGTTACTAAATATAGAAACTTGTCATTCTTTTTTCAGAAGAGGATCAAAACACTACCCTTAAACTATCTGAAATAGCTTAAATATACCCTTAAAACTATATTTCAGCTCAAAAATACCCTTTTAGTCAAACTATTGGGTCACACCTACCCTTCTAGTTAACTGAAGTATCCATGTGTGTGTTAAATGCCACATGAATGCCACATGTGCACGCCAAACAAACCCACATAGACGACTACGGAAAAGGGTCAAGACTACCTTTAAACTATTCGAAATAGCTTAAATATACCCTTAAACTATATTTTGGCTCAAAAATGCCCTTTCTATCTAACTATTGGACCACACTTACCCTTCTGTTTAACAAAAACATCCATGTGTGTGCTAAAATGCTACATGGACTCCACATGTGCACGCCAAACACACCCACCTCCACATAGACGACTTAAAGCCCTAATTTCACTCTTTTCCCCCTCATTTCATCCTTTCCTTATTTGGGTATATCAATATGAATATACAATATACATTGACTCAATTCAGTTCCATTTTATTCTGATACTAACATGTTGTACTTTGAAGATCACAACTTAAACAACATTCAAATTAATTTTGTTATCTAATCCTTAAATCATCTATTATATTGAATGTTTCTTTAACTTTCCATAAAATCTAAAACTTCCTTAACAATCATTTTGAGCATCTTTGGATTAGGGACCACATAGGCTCAAAACTTGAACAAAAATAGGGTAATTGGTAAAAAAAATAAATAAACAAAAAATCTATAAAGACTTACTAGGTCTTCGTTGATGTAGTAGCAAACGAAGGTATCATTCCAGTCGTTCGTCAAGTTTTCCTCATTAGCGAAATCGCCGACGTTGATGTGGCGGAGCTCGGTCACCACCACCAGGGAAGCCGCCGTATTCGTCTTCCCTGTGCCTGGAGTTGGGGTGATAAGTATATTAGGTCTCTTACGGTTGCTGCTATTTTGTGCCATGGTCGTGAGTTGAATCAACAAGAAAGCTTGCTTAGATTTGTTTAAACAAAATTAATTTATTAAGAGAAATTAAAATAATAAATTAGTACTAATTGATTAATTAAAATGAGTGTGTTTATATTATACCTTGGATCGTTTCCTTTATTGTATTTGAAATGGTCATCAAATTGCAATTTTTATACTTCATTCGGTTACGTATACAAGTTTCCGCAAATGTTTTTTCTTTTTTTGGTTCAATATATACTTTTCCAGGATGAAATGAGGGAAAAAGAGTGAAATTAAGGTTTTAAGTCATCTATGTGGAGGTAGGGTGTGTTTGGCGTGCGTGGAGTCCATGTGGCATTTTAGCACACACATGGTTGCTACTGTTAAACATAAGGGCAAGTGTGGTCTAAAAGTTAGACGGGAAGGGCATTTTTGAGCCGGAATATTAATTAAGAGTATATTTAAGCTATTTCGAATAGTTTAAGGATAGTTTTGACCCTTTTTCGTAGTCGTCTATGTGGAGGTGGGGTCTGTTTGGCGTGCACATGTGACATTTAACACACACATGGATACTTCCGTTAACTAGAAGGGTAGGTGTGACCCAATAGTTTGACGGGAAGGATATTTTTGAGACGAAATATAGTTTAAGAGTATATTTAAGCTATTTCGGATAGTTTAAGGATAGTTTTGACCCTTTTTCGTAGTCGTCTATGTGGAGGTGGGGTCTGTTTGGCGTGCACATGTGACATTTAACACACACATGGATACTTCCGTTAACTAGAAGGGTAGGTGTGACCCAATAGTTTGACGGGAAGGATATTTTTGAGACGAAATATAGTTTAAGAGTATATTTAAGCTATTTCGGATAGTTTAAGGATAGTTCTGACCCTTTTTCGTTTTTTTTTTTAACAGACTAGAAAGAAAAATGAGTTACTAAATACTTGACAACATTAAAAGAAATTTTCAAGTTGATCACCTAATCCTAAAAAATTACTTACAAATCATCAAAGGCTACATTTGTAGCACTATATGTTGAAAAGAAGTGTGGTTGTAAAGAGCCTTGCTCCAAAGTAAGCCCCACTAGAATATGACATGGAGATTGCAAGTGGAAACTAGAACAAACAACAAAATTTTGAATGTCCAGTTGGCACCAATCAAAGCCTCAACAACCTTATCCCACATCATAAATCTAATCTTCCCCCACATCCAAAAACTAAGCCAATTTCCCTTCACACATCACAAAATTATCTAAAACATATTGCCCCTCCCCTCCAACATCACCATTCTAACAAAGAATTGGAATCCAATTCCAAAACCAACAAAAGAGAGTAATTGTTGTTTTGAGTGTAAGTTAGCAATGGCTGCTTCCACACAATGTTTCTTGCACCAATATCATGCACTAAGATCTAGCCCTGCTAGAACATCATCTGTTCCATCCCCTAAGCCTAACCAATTGATTTGCCGTGCACAAAAGCAAGATGATGCCAACAACACCAGCAACGCCGTCTCTCGCCGATTGGCTCTTACTCTCCTCATTGGTACTGCTGCCATTGGTTCCAAAGTTTCCCCTGCAGATGCTGCCTATGGAGAAGCTGGTACTTTTCTCCAATATATAATACATAGCATACTAGTTTAACTAATGATAAACGGTCTCAAAGAATTTTTACACTATCAGATCGAAGCACTTGAAAGGCAAACCATGTATATAACTTGTTATAACTAAGTTTAATATATGTGTGATGTGCCTATATAATACAACTATCCAGCCCCCTGACCTATGTTGCTCGGATCCTCCAAAAACATTGCCACGTCTATATCACTTTCTTTTTGTTGGAGGATCCGAGCAACATTTAATGTGAACATGATCTTAATGATGGTGTTTGTGATATATGCAGCAAATGTTTTTGGTAAGCCAAAGGAGAACACTGATTTCTTGCCATACAATGGAGATGGATTCAAGCTCCAAATCCCAGCCAAATGGAACCCAAGCAAAGAAATTGAGTTCCCTGGTCAGGTTCTCAGATATGAAGACAACTTTGATTCCACCAGTAATCTCATGGTTGCAGTCACTCCAACTGACAAGAAGTCCATCACCGACTACGGCTCCCCTGAAGAATTCCTCTCTAAAGTAATAATATTTCTATCTCTAAAAGCATGCATTTTATAGTTCAGCACAAGTGGTTAGCTCACAACTGAGTTTTGGTCTTGTTTTCTTTTGTTTCTCAACAGGTGGACTATCTGCTAGGAAAGCAAGCTTACTTTGGTAAAACTGATTCAGAGGTAAGTAATCATAACTACTAGCTGCTTTTCATATGAGATGAGTAAAGGTCACTAGCATTAAAGCACTCTGCACTTCTATAGAATGGTAGCTTCGAGTATGAACAAATGAGTCTAGAATTCAGTCAGTATGTAAGCTACCCTGTAAGTTAGTCCTCAAGTGGAAGAATCACTCAGTAAGATTATAATAAGTAATGGCTTTTGATCATACACCAGCTATGCAAGTAGTAAAATGTAGCTGGCAGCTTTTTCCTATAAATCAAATGATGGAATGAATGAAGTACAAAACCATGTGTCAGTCCCAAGGAAGTTGGAGTCGGCTATATGGGTCCTCGTAGTCTATGTTGCTCTGCCCTGCAATTGTCTACATTTTGTTGGTAAAAAGCACTAACTGAACTAATGTATGGAAAAATGAAGTGGGAATTTGTTTGTGCAGGGTGGATTTGAATCTGGTGCAGTGGCAACTGCTAACCTGTTGGAGGCATCAAGCGCAACAGTGGGAGGAAAACAGTACTACTACTTGTCAGTATTGACAAGAACTGCAGATGGAGATGAAGGTGGGAAGCACCAGTTGATCACAGCCACAGTGAATGATGGCAAACTTTACATTTGCAAGGCACAAGCTGGTGACAAGAGATGGTTTAAGGGTGCCAAAAAGTTTGTGGAGAATGCTGCCACTTCTTTCAGTATTGCTTAAGAATGGGAAAACTAAAGAAAACCATTATTTAAGTTTGTATGTACTTAGTTCTTCCCCCCTCTACAAAACATATGGTCCTGAGATGAGTTACTTAATTGGACTTCTTTTTTGCTCTTTCCAACCAATCCCAAAAAAGTTTTTAAACATGTTTCAAATACTGTTGGAGGAAGCTTAATGTTAATAATTTCATATTTTCTTCACATATATTTAACACCCTTTACCGCCTCCCCCGCCACACACACACTCTTCAGAATCCCAACATAGACAGATAACAAACTCAACATCTGTTGATGGACTACTCTCTGTGTTAAAAAGTCTAGAACCACCGAGGGATGTCATAGAATGGATCCCTTCACTCTTTAATCAGAGATCTTGAATTCAAATCCTAGTAACATAGAAATTCCCAATAAGAAGGGCATCACCCTTAGATGGGCCTTACGCAGTACAAGTTTAGAGTAGTCAAGGCTAGTAAATTTTGGGTATCAAATAGTTAAATGAAAAGAAGATCATTTCAAGAAGAGAAGTTTATTCCAACAACTCAACTCACAAGGCTTTAGTGATAGATGTTGATCTTATGGAAATGGGATCATCTCAAAAAGGAAAACTAGAAGCTATATAATTGCTTATTGGATATAAGAGAAAACAAAGGGAGTTTCTCTTTTTGGGTGATTCTTAGGAGCTAAACACAATTCTCATATGCAAATTTATAGTAGGACAGACCTGTAGACCAAAATTTTCCAGTTCATCTTACTCCTAAAGATGCAAGAGTTCCGAAAGCTGCTTTAGTAAAAAGGTTGACGAAAAGATTCAAAAGAATTGATCTGGTACAAAGCTGCTAGTTATATAGTGATATGTACTCATGTACCAATAAGGCAATAACATGCCTTAGTGAATAACGGTGACAACCCCTCTCAAACTTCCCTTCCCTCTACATTTTTTTGGGAAATAGAGCAAATGAAACTGCATCTAACCTGTTCAAACCATTAACTACTTACCTACCTTAAATAGCAAGGGTCAATAAAATAGGCAACAATTATTTAAATGGAAAAGAAAAACTAAAATATGGAGGAAGTACACGATTTATTAAATGGACTGAATGCAAATTTCACATTCTTGTTTGTCATAAATGTTGGTTCGACATGAACATACAGAATATACACAGAAACCAGTGATAGAGATGAAAGATATTTGTAACGTTACACGCTGCCCTTTTGCATCTCAGACTTCAACTTCGCCCATTGCAGTAGTTCACACCATTATCAGTGTCATGTTGCTTTGTGTTTACTCGATTATAGCCCCATACACGAATTGTACCATCATCACTCGCAGATGCCAGCATATGAGGATTTCTTGGGTTCCAGCTAACACAGTTCACCGTCCCTGAATGTCCAGCCAGTGTCCCAACAAGTTCACCTGAGCCTCTGTGCCATATATAAACCTAAAATATTGCAATAGACCGAGATCAGAATCTCTCAAGGATATAAGGCTTTATGGTATAGACTACCTTTCCCATACCCTACTTTGTGGAATTACACTGGGTATGTTGTTGTACTAGGATCAAAGTCTCTCTAGAAGATACAAGGTCAGAATCAATATCTGACAACATATTTCTGTAATTTGTGCCCAGTAATAGAGAGAAATGGGAAAAATCTTTTCACTATCAAAAATTTACTTCTCTATGGTACATTTAAATTTGAACCAACAAGTGATAGCACATAAACAATACATTTGAATTACAACTAGTAATATTTTCCATCCCAAAAATACATTGAAGAGCACACCTAATAAGATTGATATCCCTTCCGCTCCCCTCCAAACCTTTTTCCTCAAAAATTAAGACTTACCCCAAATAGGTATCTCTTAATACTCAAATGTGTTGTCTACACACTTCCTATTTCGTGATGTCCTATTTTACAGATTCAAATGAATATTATCCACAGCCATTATGAAGTACAACTCTACAAGTCAAAATGATATCTTAAATTTCCGTGGAGTATCACTTTCATAAACAAAGTTATTGCATATCCAAGTACTCATATATTAGCTATGATTTACAATTGGACTTATGAGCAGACTAAAAACTTGATTCCATGCACAGCATTTGGACATTTTGTGAGATACTACATCAGGAATATGCCATGAGATTCAGGATGTATTCTACACCAAAGCCGCCTACAAGCTTAACTAATTCAGCAAATCTTCTATAAATATAAAAGAATATATGACCACTAATGGCATAAATGCAGGCCATATAACATTCTGAGCTTTAAGGATCTCATTAATCTCATGAAAATATACTTGACGTGTTCATTATTCCTTGAGAAATTTCAGAAAACTTGAGTTTTCCTTCTTCGTTGCTAACTATTATAAATCTGTCTCACACTTCACATGGAAGTCATGTCCTGACAGCAGTAAAGAGCAGCATGGCATTGATGTAAACTTGTGATCATTGAGAGCAGTGGTTATCATAAAGGCAGCATGTGGGTCCAAATAGTATAAAACAATTCACTCAAGATAGAAGAAACTCAAAAATAAAATAAAATAAGTCAACAGATTAGCTGAGGCAATTATGAAATACTCAAACAATACATACAAATACAGAAGAAATAACTCTTTAGAGCATCATTCTACAAGAACCCTAGAAAAGGCAAAACAAACAATGTCACTTGCATGTACGAAGCATAAACATGAAATGTTATATGCTAAAAATGAAAAACTTGTTAGCAGAACTTTTTGTGCAGGAAAACATAGTTTCCTGATTCAGGTAAATGAAAGATGCTTTTATGGTCAAAAGACAGACCATATGCAATATGCAACCCAATTTGACGAATAGAATGTTAATTTATTCATGTGCTAATAAGCATAAAAGGCACCCCAAAAAAAAAAAATCTGCAAATCAAATTGATTGTGCTTATAGATCAACAAAAGAGGCTAACCTGTGAGTCCTCGCTTCCACTTGCAATAAAAGCTTGATGTAGTCCTCCAAAGCAAGACCTCACAACGAACCGAGAACGTTTGTGCCCCTTATATTTGGCTACGAGTTTTACAGTTCCTTCTATATTCCAAAGATGAATTTCTTGGTTCGAAAGACTAACCAATACATACTTACTATCCATGGACAATACAAATGAGGTTATTGCTTGATCCTCCTGAATTACTCTCTCTACTTTTGATTCCCATCCAAATAATACTATCATATTTTCTTTACAAACAGAGACAACATGCTTCCCATCACTTGTTATCCCCAAGTCCGACATTCTAATAGTCCTGTGGCCTTTCCAACACTCAAGCTCTTTCCCTTCCAAATCCCACATGGTAATACTTTTGTCAGTTACACCACAGAATATCCTTTTTCCATCAGGAGCCCATCCACATGAGATAAAACCAACGTTTTTTTTCTCATAAATGTGTATACATTTACCAGACTCGACATCCCACCGTATGACAGTGTCCTCTTCACCACAAGTGAGAAGTTGATGGTCATCAGGACTCCATGATATATAGGAAACAGATGTCTTGTGACCCAAAAATTTGTGTTTCATGCAGACACTGCCATCCAATTTGACCTACAAAAAGCAGAAAATGAGGGATGAACTTACACTCCATCTATTATCATGATTAGTTCAAATCTTCACGATTAACAGCTCTCTTTTCTTTTGTTCCCAGCACTCCCTCCCCCCAATCCCACATAAACACAAACTTTTTCCATTTATTTTTTATCAAACATGAAATGCACCTGATATTGGAGAGTGGACCTTGCATATCATACTCCTCCAAAACATAATCAAGCACCAAAAGAAGAGGAAATGAACCAAATATTAATCATTTGATTAGCAAAAAGAAGCATTGTTCAGGTGTAAATACATTAAACTCTGATTTCCAACTTACAAAGCCAGTTGAATAAAGCACACCAAGACATCTGGAACTCTCTGACATTTCTTTTCTCGACAGTTTGTTCAAAATTCTTCATATGGTGAAGTATCATTAGCTATCAGCTTTCATGTTTTCTAAAGGCATGGAACTCTTCCATGTGTTTGTTTCTCTTTAAACTTAAAAAAGGAAGGATATCACTCTATGAAATGACTACTCCCCCCATTTCATTTTATGTAAGGGTGATTGATTCAGCACGGAGTTTAAATATGTTAATCTAACTTATTTAATATATTATTGATAATGGAAGAGAATATTAAAGTGGAGGTGGAAAAAACAAGCAAACATCACATCAAAGTTGAAGTGTGAGTAGTTCAATGAATCCTAAAAGTTATTGAAAGTTGTATAAAATAGAATGGTGTCAAACATTTTGCGACGCACCAAAATGGAAAGAGTGTCATATAAATTGGAATGGAAGGTGAAACTAAAATGGAACTAAAGCTAGAATATAAAATTTAACATTGATTTTGTATTCAACTGATTTTCCCATTCAAATTGAATGCTTAGTGCCAAGTATCAGTTAAAACATCACTGTCGTCTAGGTTAAAGAATCTAATGATAAATCCCAAATTAAGTTTTAGAAAACCTCCACTCAACCCAAAGGTTTGTATTAATTCGATAAACCTCCAATGCAAAAAATGGCAGACAGGCAGCTTAGTAGTAACAAGGCTCTTATTTTTCATGTTATTTATTTTAGTAGCTTCTGCAAATCTGTCCACCATATTTGTAATTTACTCATCCCTTTCATAGACATGCACATTAACGCTTAACATGCCATCCATAACTATTTGGCAACATGAATACCTTTAGCCATTGCATATTCTCCATTTATTCCAGTTGTGATGGACTCTATTTCGTGGCTCCTTCCTAAATTTGGAGACTATTTAACTTACAGTTTCCTCCTTATTTTGAGAAGGTAACTTACACTTCACACTTTACCCTTAATGACAAGCTTTTACAGCTACACAAATGGTACGGTATAAATAAGACCACAAACTTTAGAAGTTTCTTCATTTCTAACTCCGTGCTCAGTCAAATAGGTTAAAACTATTGAAACTGAGAGAGTAATAACTTTGTTCTTAACAATGGAATAATAATGAGGCTACAAATTTAATTAGGATACATTGAACACCTCCCATGAAACTAACACCTCGGGCCATATATAAAATAAACTTGCAACTGTTTTTTTTTGGGGGAGAGCAAGTAAAAGAGGCATTAGGCATTATTGGTATAGTTCAAAGCTTTAGATGGAATGTTGTGAAAGAAGTACAACC